TCATCATCATCGTCATCGTCATCGTCATCGTCATCGTCATCATCATCATCACCGTCGTCATCGTCATCGTCATCATCGTTATCATCGTCATCATTGTCATCATCTTCATCATCATCATCGTCGTCGTCATCATCATTGTCATCATTGTCATCATCATCATCATCATCATCGACGTCATCGTCATTGTCATTGTCATCGTCGTCATTGTCATCGTTATCATCATTTTCGTCATCGTCATCATCATTGTCGTCATCGTCGTCACCACCGTCGTCGTCGTCTTCGTTGTCATCGCTGTCATTATCACTGCCACCGTCGTCCTTGTCATCTTTATTGTCTTCGTCATTACCACCGTCGTCGTCGTCTTCGTTGTCATCGCTGTCATTATCATTGCCACCGTCGTCCTTGTCATCTTTATTATCTTCGTCATTACCATCGTCATCTTTGTCTTCTTTTTTGCCATTACTACCTTGATCTCGGTCTTCTTTATCGCCATCATTATCACCTTTGTTATCTTCACTCTCGTCGTCATCGTCGCCATTATCGTCATTGTCATCGTCCTCATTACTGTCGCCGTCGCCTTCATCACTATCGCCCTCGTTATTATCACCATCTTCGTCTCCGCCATCATCATCGTCGTCGTCAGTATTACCACTGTCGCCATTGCTATCATTATCGTCGCCGCCGTCATCGTCACCATCATTTTCATCGCCATCTTCACTTCCGTCGCCCCCATTGCTGTCGTTATCTTCGTCGCCGTCGTCATTGTCACCCTCCTTGTCATCACCATCTTCTTCTTCTTCTTCTTTTTCATCATCATCATCATCCCCGTCGTCGTCATCACCGTCACTTTCACCGTCATTACCATCACCATCATTATCGCCATTATCATCTCCACCGTCGTCTCCGCTGTCATCTCCACTGTCCTCACCGCTTTCATCTCCACTGTCATCTCCGCTGTCCTCACCGCTTTCCTCTCCACTGTCATCTCCACTGTCCTCGCCGCTTTCATCTCCACTGTCATCTCCACTGTCCTCGCCGCTTTCATCTCCACTGTCATCTCCACTGTCATCTCCACTGCCATCTCCGCTGCCGTCTCCGCTGTCATCTCCACTGTCATCTCCGCTGTCGTCTCCACTGAACTCACTGTTTTCATCTCCACTGTCATCTCCACTTTCATCTCCACTGTGCTCGCCGATCTCTTCTTTACCTCCTCGACTGCTTTCTCTAATGTCACCAATGATCTCATCGGTTTCGTTGTCATTATTTTGGTTTACAGCATCTTCTTGATCACATTCATCGACATCGCTTTCCTCTATTGGAAAAAAAAGAAGAATATTACAAATGGGCTTAGTAACAGCGCTGATCACCGTCATTTGATAAAAATTTACATGGCGGTGTGTTCAGCTTCAAGGTTTGGGCTAAAATGGCAAAAAATTGAAATGCGATCCGTTGAACGGCTGTTACGCAAGAGTTCACGGTCAATCTGTCAGCTTGGCCAGGAATGTACACGGTACACCATTCTTTAACAGCTGAACAAATATCCGTCAAATTGAAATGCGATCTGTCACG